GGCAGGAGTAGTAGAGATGTGAAGACGATGTAATCAGTCCATCACCCTAGAAAATGTAGATTTGAAGTTGTTAGTCTCTCAGCCTCTTTTTCAAGAGCGAATGGTTGAATCTGAGAGGGACGTGACCTCTCAGTGATTACATTCTTTCTTCTACTACTCTACACCTCTCCTGCCGACAGTATATAAGTCTTCACATTGTTTCAGACTATGAAATAGAATTCTTCTCCAGGCTGAGGGACTGACAACCTCAAATCTACGTCTTCAAGGGTGATGGACTGATTACATAGTCTTCACATCTCTACTGCTCCTGCCTACTTTCTGTACTCGACTGAAGAAGCCTACTGTGTAGGCGAAAAGTTTCGGAATAAAGATCCTATGTGTCTTACCACCATGGCAGGAGCAATTCACAAATAGCCCTCATAGCGTAGCTGTAACAATTCACAAATAGCCCACCATCCTATGGCTGAAACAATTAACACTGAACCCACAATACTTTCTCTCCAGTTTGTGGGTTAACGGCATGCTGAAAACGAGTCTTAAGAATATTTATGAAATTATGCATTTTAAATACAATAAAGTGAAATACGAATGTAAAGTTCTGAAATTCCAGTACCCGAGACGAAAGACGATCAGTACAAGAAATAACAATACCTCTGAGTGACAACTGAGATACATTCTGTGGTTAAGATGACCTGTCTACATGGGATGGAGATACAGCTTTCTGTACCTTAGGATGGTAGCTTCAGCGAGAGAGAGATGCCTACTTTACCATCCATTTTTCAAGCACATGATGCTAGAAGCTAGTCCTCCCTCCAGACAGTAGTAGATAGTCCTTCTCTACAGATATCTTCTGACTGGACTGAAGAAAAATTCTCTTATCTACCTTTCTCATTTAGTTTATTTGAACGATACCGTTGATAGATAGCTTCAAACTTCAAACTCCTAGAAATTAGTCACATTTTACTGAAAAATTACTGTAAAAACTGAGATGTGTGTATCAGTATATATATTCTGAGAGTTTACTCTTATCGCTATTTTAGGGACTTTTGTCCCTGAAAATATCCTTAACTGATGCTGTAAAGGTAATATACAGCCTTAATTAATGATACTCGCATAGTCGATCGACTTTGAATGTGATAAACGAACCAACTATTCAAGACGTAGCAGACTGACCTCATAGTTGGTGGATGGTTGTATGTGGTGGTAGCTTGAAGGTACACTCTTTGTTGACCGCATATGGATGGAAGGTGTTGCAGTGGTGCCCCTGGGCATGTGAAGAGTGGTGGTGAAGTGGGCAGCTGAGGTTGTGAGGGTAATGGAAGGAGCGTGGGTGGAGGAGGGCGTGTGGGATACCATGGCCCACGCCTCAAAGGTTGCTAAGTTACGTATCATGGAAGAGCCCATAGCTTCCAGTTGCTCCGCGGCCTCCTCGGGCAGGAATGCCAGCGCCTCGGGCTGAGGGAACATTCTCCGTGATAAAAATCTTGAAAAAAAGATGAACTTATAAATGAATAAATTCCTTTATTAATTTACTCGAACTAGCTTAGCATTTTTTAAGCAGCAAAACAAACTTAATTAACTACTTCATCTAACTTTGCTACAATTAACGCAAAATTATTCCTACCTAATGTTTGCCCAAGTTTATTTAGTATTAGTTAGCCATAATGCATTTTTTAAGGGGAACCCAAAAAACCAAACAAAAAAAAAACCACAATTTTTGTTCTTAAAAAATGTTTCCTTTCCCCAATTTTTCCCAATTTAAATTTGTTTTAGAAAATTTCCGTTTTCCCAAAGGGGGGTTCAATTCATCAAACAAACGTTTTTAAAACAATGTTTTGGGTTTATAAAATTATAAAAATTTTAAAAAAAAATAATATTAAAAATTAAATATTTATTATATTATTTATATAATAATAATATATAAAATTTTTCTTTTTATATATATATCTATATTATAAAATATATAAATATATATTTTTTATTATATATTATTATATAAAATTAAAATTTTTTTTATTATATATTTATAAATATATATTTTATATATATATATAATATTTTTTTTAATTTTATATAGATTTATTTTATATAAAAAATATATTTATAAAAATATATAAAATTATAATTATATATAAAATATAAATTATATTTTTTTATATATATATATATAAAATATTTTTATAAAAATATATTTAAAAATTTTATATATTTATATATATTATATTATTAAAATAAAAAATTTTAATTTTTAAAATTTTATAAAATTATAAAATATTATTTTAAAAAATATTATAATATATATATTTTTATATAATTTTAAAAATTTATATTAATATATTTCCAACAAGCCCGGCCCCGCCCTTACACCGGGGCAGGGGGGGAACCCAAAAAAAAAAAAAAATCCCCAAAAAGAGAAATTTTTCATCATCATTCAGAAACTTTCACCCCCAACCCACAAAAATTTTCACTTTTTTTGGGCAGAAGTGTAAGAATAAAAACA